CGCGACAGCCCCGCCAGGCCCGCCTCTTCCCATGCAGACACCCCCTCCCCGCCCCCGCGGGGGACCAGAGGCCCCAGGAGCCCCGAGTCAGCAGCATCGGGGCCGGGGGCAGAGGTCAGAGGGGAAGGAGCAGGCCGCCAGGGCCCGGCCGGTGTCCGAGCAGCACAGCCACTGGCGGGTGTGGGAGGCCGGCCGGCCGAGGCTGAGCCCGCGCAGGCCTGGGCCTGGGACGGGCCAGGTTACATCCCCGCAGCGGGTGGGCAGGGATGGGACAGGCACTGCCCTCCGGCCAGCCCGGCTCGCCTGGCCAGCGCAGGCCCCGTGGGCCTCCCCAGGTCTGGGTCCCTCCCTCGCGACGGTCGCTCCTGGCGCTGCTCTGGGCAGGCCCCTGCGCCGCGGCCGGTGCGTCTGGCGGTGCTGCCCGCGGTGCTCGGGTGTGTCTTGGCGCCTCGCTGCTGTCCTCGAGGAGCCTCCCTGTCCGCCGCCCGGCCGGGGGCAGCGCCTGAGGTCCTGCTCAGGTGTCCACATGGCACCGGCCCCTCTTGGCCTCCGCACTGCCCGGGCCTGCACGGAGCGGGCGGCCCTTTGGCGTGGGCAGCGCATGCGCCCAGGCCAGACTGCTCAGCCGGCCGCCCCAGAAGACGGCGACGGGGAGGAGAGGCCCCCCAAGGTCGTGGTCTGCGCCACGCCCCGCCGCAGGGCCCCTGTCTGGCAGCACCAGGGTCCAGCCAGGCTGCGGGAGACGGGTCCCCTGGGTGGGGCTCTGCCCCATTGCCAGGCCCCAGGGGGCGGAAAGTCCCGGGCTTGGCCACTCTCGGGCTGGAAGGACTGGGAGAGCAGGAGGCCAGAGGGACCCCTGGGGCTCCGGCGGGGGCTGGGCGGGCGCCTCCCTCTGACCCTGGCGGGTGCACATCGTGGGTCACGCTGCAGAGTCCACGTCGTGGGTCACGCGTGGCCTCGTGCCGCCTCGTGCCTGGCCCCTGCTGACCACTCGCCAGCGCCTGCTGTAGTGGTCAGCGTAGCGGTCCGGCCGGGGCCAGCCGGGGCTGGAAGCAGGGTGCGATGGCCGGGTCCTGGGCGTTCACTGTGCCTGCCGGTGTCTCTGGCCTCGTCCGTGAGGGACGGTCCGCCGCGCCCGGCCCTGGGC